AGTTGTTCAATTTGTTCTTCGGTAATGCAGACAATATGAGCAGATAGAAAAATGAGAATAAGAGTGGAATAAGCACGATGTAATAGGTTACTGATGTGTGGTAATGATAATCGTGGTGATTTATAAGACATGAACCGGATAAAGCCAATCCAAGGGGGAGGTGTTATTGCATGTTTAAGTAAGCGTTTGTCAAGTCTCCTTCCAAAGCTATAAATTGTCTAATATAAGGTCACTTCGCTTGTATGTGCATTCCGAGTGCGGGAACTGATAGTACGAAATAGAACGTACCTGGTTTTTTGCACTTCGATGTACGAATTTACCAGGGTTATTTTGGGAAATGTTGTTATGATTTTCTGGTGATATACTAATTTTTGTGACTTCATATACTTAATAGGTTACTCGCTTTCTTCGGATCATCACTCATTCACAAAAATCTCAGTAAGAATAACCTCAAATGTTGGAGTTTGTTTTCGTAAGATTTATTTATTACTCACAACAATCACTTAGCTGTCTGTCATAGTACTTGTCTGAGATATTCATATCTCCTTTGAAAAGAACTGGCGCAATGAAATTGTGAACTTCGAAGTGATGCCTTCCATGCATTTTAAATAGTGTTAGGAACCATTCATATTCACATATATTCGCCCAGTTCCAAGTTTCTAGTTGCTGTAACAGGTTGTTTATAAAATCACCTTGTTTGAAAATTAGGAATGGAATGTTCAAGCCTCCGAACGGCTTTATTTGATCACACTGCAGGTATTGTAGTCCTAATATCACCTGAATTATCTATCTCATTGTTAGCACCTGTGGAGACCCTGTCCATCCCTTCAAAACGTACATTGCAATTTTCGAATTGAAGCAGAACTGGTAGGATTCTGTCTTACAGGTTAATTTGGCACTCTTTAGCACTAAGGCTTTTGAAGAAATGTTGTTGTATAATGAAATTCTTTTTCTTTTATTGCGTACTTAATCTCAACTGAAGAGTATCGTGCATAGCATATCCACTCCGTCGTCCGTGATGTTGGGACAGATCCATGTTTCAATTAAAGCTTTAATTTTAGATCTAACTGAAATCACACGTCTTTGGTCCCTTCCAAATTACCACAAAGTTTTCACAAGTTATATTAGAGGCGATTGATGTTTCGTCCCATCTCGTGGTTCTTCTTTGCAGAGGTCGATATTTTCTGGGTTTAGGAAGCATATTGTTATTTTAAATTTGTTGACCAGTTATATGGGAGTTGACAGCTGGACTGGTATCCTGTATCGTGGTTTATTTATTGAAGTCAACTGACATCAAGTTTTTTTCACTTGGATTCTCGAATAGTGTTGTTTTACTAATTTACGTAGGCTCTCGTAATATCTTGATTGATTGAAGAGTTTGTTCTCGTAACAGTACAAAGACTGAAGGGCCCCGGTTAAATCCCTTGGGATCGTAAAGACACGGAGACGTGATGGTCGCGACGTGCAAAAAAAGCCATGACACAGCAATGACACAAAGTTGCAATTCCCAAGGCCAGTTTGCACATCATGTTCTTAAGGTTTGCTGACTACCATTCACTTGATCGGGGATTCCATAAATCAATATACTGGCCGTATATTCTGTTTAGTTTGACAATATTCTAGTGGTATCTACTGCTTCCCATGGCTTATCGTGTTCTACTTGACTTTGTGAAGTCTGTCCAACCAAAGGTTTCTAGCACTCGAAAAAGATTTTTTCCGAAAAATGTGCCGTCTTTTGAAGGGATGTTCACTTTTCGCTACATTTTTACTGTATTACAGATGTTATTGTTTTGCTGGACGGGTAACCGTTCGAATCATTGTGCATTATTCGTCTCAATATTTTATATTAAATGCTTTCCTATTTTTTAGTCAGTTTCCCTCCGAAAATAGGACACTTAATAATCGCAGAGTGTTTTTTTCCCTGATCCTCAGACAGAGAATCCGTTCAACAAGTTACGAGCGAAAATAACAGGCTACTTCAGAAGATGGCATCGATGGAGTATCTCTGACCACTTACTGAGTGTTTGTCGCCATTGTAATTTAAACATTGAATACGTTCGTACTTATCCTTTGGGCCCAGGAAAACGAAATGATATGTTCTCGTCTTATAGGATGATCGAATTGACATTCCCACGGATGTCAGTCCTAGGTAAAGCTGATGTGATGGGTTAGGTCGATTGGTTAAGAGTTGGCTGCAAACATCTTAGCGATATCAAAATACTAAAGCTCAAGTATTCACTCACTTCCCTATTTTTTGTAGGCATTATAGTTCCTTATATTCTGCGCTGAATGTCGAAAAACTTTGTGTATTTGAAAAAATAAACTCGAGATCCATTTGTTGCGTTTCATTATATAAATAAAGACCTACTCACTACTAGTCTGGTTTCTTCTAGCGATAGAACGAGAGGTGCCCATCGGAACAAAAGTAATGTTCAATGAAATAGTTTAAGAAAATTTTCTGCGAAATCTTTCCGCCACAACTCTGATTTAAAATTGTATCAAAATACAATATGCCAGTCATTATAATAAGTCAACATCAAAAACTCGTTAGGGATTCAAAGGAAAATACCTTTCAAAATTTACTTTTTCCATGTACTTTAAATCCTCTGTTAATTATCTTCTAGTGATCAGTCTCCAGCTTTTTTAAATCTACATTATGATACACTCCTGCGGATAACGTCAGTGCATATGTATTAATATTTTTAATCAGTCTATCTGAATATCATCTTTTTAAACATCTGCATGATAACTATATGAACAATATTGATACTTGTTGGAGTATAATCGAAGATCCGGCTTCAGACTATTTGTGATAAGTCGTGTGGAGTTTGCTAAATCTGAGTATTCATAATCCTACTAGGAAAGCTCTTTATAATATGTTAGATGACATCGATCCATTAAAAGAAACATCATATTTGTTGAAACTCATTTTAGCCAAAAAAACCTTAATAATCATTAAGAGCATCACAGTCAAATTAGATTTTATCGTTTAAAAAAGCGAAAAACTGAGACAATTTGCATGACTCTGATTATAAAACCGAATAAAAACATAAGGGTTATGTACTGTGTCTTATGAAATTGCCCTAGTTACGCTGAGACTTGTCTTTCACGATCCAGAAACATCAGAGATATATGGTAACATTCAATAACTCTGTAGTTACAATAAGTGGTGAATACTTATATATGGTAGTCATCGTGATATGAGATCACTTTCACGATACATTCCCGGTGTTCTAGTGAGGAGTCATAGCAAGTGGAATTCAACCAGGTTGATAGTATGACATTCATAGTTGAAGCCATTGGATGGTCTTTAAATTATTTCGTAAATTGACCAAACTTGGACATATGACTCATCGAATTCTGTATTAATTATCTCAAACTGTTGTCTTAATTATAAAACTTTGGAAACGGTAGATTCAATCTCTGATAACACTCATCAACATATAAAGCATTTGGTTGATAATTAGTGATGATCGAATTCCACCAAGGATCCACCAGTTTAGTTCAGGCGCAATATGTTTTAAAGTAGGAAAGGTTTACTGTCTATTGACTACTATCATAAAACATTCAAATAATCTCTTAAGAAAATTTCAAGATAGAAGTATTAATTTACCACCGAATCTTTTTTTGAAAATAAAGTTTTTGTATTATGATTTATAAACAAAGAATTTTGTAAAAAGGACAATTAAAAGCACAGTTGGTTCCTTTAATCCGAATGTATTGTTATTGTGCCGAAATTCGTTTAAAAATCAATCAGAATGATGAAGGACGTCCACCAGTTCAAGTTTATCTTTATATAATCACAACTCATCCAGTCATAGATGAAGTAAAACCTGTAATATATGTACATTGACCCAGGTTGTCAAATCATATCACAAAACTAAAACAGAATTTTCGAACATGAATAATAGTAGAAGTATTAATAATGTCAGTGGTGAAAGAAAATTGAGCGTAGAGGCTATAAAAGCAGAAAGAATGTACTCATGGAATAAAAAGTGTAGAAAAATATAGAACTCAGGACACAGGAGAAAAAAGAGTAAGCGGGTCTGTATCATTGCGGTAGGTTTTGACACACCTAAACTAACATCAGGATAAATGCATAAACTTCGCCGAGGCAGATCAAACTCACCAGCACTTCTTAGAACATCATTTATTAATTTCAAGGATTGTGGCCACATTTAGATTTGCCTGTTCATAACTCTCTTCCAACCTAATGCAATCACAACCGGAGTTGAAAGACCCGAAAATCCCATCAATCAGTTTACCATCTATGTCTATTACCCCATATCGTCCATCGGGACTAAACGCTTGGTGACCATATCGCAAACGAGCAATATTTTGAAAACACCTACGGTCGAGTACTAATAACTTATGAATGTTTTCTACTGTTTTCGAAGAGGAGAAGCGCATCAAAAACATGCTCTCATTGTTACTCAAGATAAACAAAATTCTCGGTTAAACAAAGAGGCCAAATTACTAATAGTATCTGTGACAGAGAACTATGCTTAAGAACCATTGTTTGAGTTGAGTAAAAAAATATTAGGATGAAAGTGCGCTGATGTACGAAACTCCAAGTTATGGAAAATGATGAAAACAACAGACACCACTTCAACCGATTTCGGCCGAAGTTATCCAGATATCCTTACAAAATATGAATATTGCCTGGACCTCAACTTAAAAGTCACTCCGCTCAACATTGCGAAGCTTAGTAGTCAACACTGATTCATCCATTTCTGTACTTCTTTCTATTTGATCCTACGTTAGTCATCACCGAATGTACGAGGCAAGCGGTGCAAGGCATAAATAGCACATGCCTGAATACCTAATTTAACGAAAATCTGTAGCGTGATCAGTTTGACCAACATTTCTTGTATCTTGTAACTGCAGATTAGATGCGCAGCGAATTATCGATCGGGTCAGTGACACGTAAGGACGACCAAGAGTCCCGATTGGCCCTGCTTCGCTGTCTACCCCAGCCAGTTGAGTCCAGAACACAAGTATCAGCCTCTGAGATATGAATCATTATATTTCAGACATACTCTGTTTATATACCAATCAAACAAACCACATCGTACCATAAAATAGAAAACAACATTTGTACAATATTTAACAAATGAAATAAACATTGACCAATAGGGAATTTCCATTTAAAACCCAAGGACACCATTATACTTAACATGATAATTATTGGTATATATTTTTCCGAATATCCCAACACTTTGTAAGTCTAAAAAACGTCTACCATCACCTATGACCAAAGACGTGTACACTACGTATCCTTAACTTTCATGTTTCACAGCAATAGAACTATACGGAGAAGACTGTTGAGCAGTATAAATTTCCGCCACAAAGCCCGCCATTCAGTCAGTCAAAGGCAACGTATAACCCAATTGTTGTAGAAGAGTTAAGTGTAGATAATATGTTTCAAGAGGAGGGGAGAAATTCAAGGCTCACCAAGGAAGATGAGACTTTCAAGGTGAGTGGACTGTTTAAGAAGACTACCCCACTGTTAGTTAAATTGAGCAAATCATTCGTTAGGAAACATTCGAGTTATTTTTTGTTGTTATTCAGTGAGGTTAGAGCATTCTGAATAACGTCAGTGTTTTTCTAAACTAAACTGAAATTTGTCATCTACATACGCAATTACACTACATCTCAATAGATCATGAACAAAGCGGAAATTAGGTTATATATTTCATTTAAATATGTTCACTCATTACAAACAAACAAAAAAATAAGATATTAGATTTTATTTTCGCCAAAATCCCCATAGACCACCGCTAACTAAACGATCAAATTCTGGTACACTAGGAAAATACCAATAATTCCCAGTGACACATTTGGTAAAACGCATGACATCGTCACTTTTTCTATCTTCACAATCTCCAGTCATTCGATCCAACATGAAATCGAAATTTTTTGTGTCAGCTGCATATGCAATAAATAGTAGACCAGCATCGCCGGATAAAGTTCCGTATGGTTGAGATTGTCGAACTATTTTGTACTTTGATGGAGCATCATAATCGGCAGCTAATTATTGTAAGAAAAAACAAACACCGAAGACTACATTATTGAGTTTAAAAAATATAAAGTATAAAATACACCTTTTTGAAGTTAAAGTACAGACCCACACTTCGAATATGATAGTAATTGATGAGTAAGATTTGAAGTTCAGATGAATACTTGTGACAGTATAGTATTCTCTGAGCAACAAAATTTGATTTTGCCTACATTCACACGAATTAGGTGCTCAAGAAAGTGTTTATAATAGTAATGAAAGGTTTACAATTGAGCCGTCTACCTTAGGGCATATAACGCCAACAGAAAGACATACAAGCAGATGGAATTGAAGTTGCAAAATTACAGAAAACTAAGATATAAAAAATAGGTATATTATAGTGTTAAATAATCTGAACTTTGGCATAAACGTCTGATCCACAAGGCAGTAGAGCAACTTCAGGAGATGAAGTCCCATGGTAGCTGGTGACCAATAATTCGTTCATACGAAATCTATTCCCTCAGAATACTGGGCCCACGTGCACCATTGGTTTAGAATCGGCGTTCTCCAACTCCCCAGGGTCGACCCTCCGTGTCCACTGACCCGGTTGAAGCGCCGGACATTCGCTTTTCGTACTGTCAATCACGTAAACAACAGCCCCGTCATGAGAAAGCAGTTAGTAGGAATGCCCTAGCAGTGGCTGTATACGCGAGGCCACGTGAGAGCAATAAAGTAAATGAATATAATTATTTCCTTAGAGATAAGCCAATTGAGAGAGAAAAAATGTTACTTACATCCAATCATTCTGGCGACATGAGACGTAACAGGTTTGTTCTTCAACTCGATACTATCTTCCAATGTTCGACCAATCCATCCTTCTTTGGTGTGATCTATAAATCAAATAAATTAAACCTTATAACAGTTCGTAAAATGTAAATCCCACATAAGCTTTTTACCTGTTACATACGTGTTGATGAATCATCATTTTCTGGAAGTGAATTAGCATCAGGTTCATTGTGAGATCAGAAGATTGCTTTATCACTGGGCATCAGTTCAAAAGGATATTGACAATTAGACTGAGTGATATAGATAGGTTCTATCTGATGGGACTATTCGTGATTACTATTTACCAGTTTGGTGAGAGACGTTTAGTGACAGGGATCAAAATCATTCACAATGACGTGAATTCATTCACTCTTTATATTCTCTTACATCTTATGTGTTTTTGAACTTGTCTATACCTGACTTTTTCTACAACTTCTGATACTGTCACAACTTCTAATATGGTGTGGCAATTCGAACTTATGAACATATACGCCAGATCCTAATGTTGTGTGTGACTTATTTACTGACTGATGACTAGGACGTGACTGACCTCCCCTACAAGTGAGATAATTACATTGATTGACTATTTGCGTATTCACCAGTGTCATGCTTGTCTAGTTCTTACTACGACTGATTGAATCCCGTCGATCAAGTTGTAATGTAGCCAAATTTTTCAAGTAACTTGATATCACGTGCACTACGTTTTGCTAACAGGTAGTTGAAGATAGTCGGGAAAAAACGAAAGAATTGGATTTCGCATCAGTTTGAAATATGGTCTATAGAATTCTATCTGGACAAAGAACTAGATGAGCATCATGTTGGTCATTATGCATCAATTCATGAATCTAAATATCTTAGTCCTACTGATAGTATTTGATTAAGTAGCGATAGTAACATCTCGGACTTCAGCTGAGCAATTCGATTTAGAATCCCAGTGTTAGTGTCCCCTTAAGACTGTATTTACATCATAGGGACAAACACCAACTGGCAAGAAACATGAATCCAGGGTTTCCAAACGACCACTACTCCCAATTGTCAAAGATCTGAATATCATAATTCTTTACTGTAAAGTAATAAAAGTGGCATTTATATGAGGTTGCCTATCATGAGGGAAAAATCGCAATAAATGGAGTATTGGTAGAAATATTTGCTCATTTTGTGAAGAAAAACCTATAATATACTCGGTTATGTTAACCAAGTTACATAGAATAGATCTCTAATAAATTTTACATGGTACAGAGTTAAACGACCTAAATTACTGAATAACTCACAGCATTCTAGTTTGCAATTATTTTTTGATCGTTGCCATATTACAATGCAGAAAAATCTATTTGTCAAAAAATTGGACGGCTAGTCAGTCAGTCAGTTACAGGCAATGTAGGATCTTAGCATACATGTGAAACAGTTTGAGTTACGTCACTAAATTAGAACAGCTAAATGAAATTCATAATATAGGATTGGCAGAAGTAGTGGTATTATAGTACGAAACATTAGGGAAAGTGAGGATTCGCGAAAAAAAAACAATCTCAAAACTCAGGATCTAGCGGTAGACAATGGTGCATGTGAGTCAATGTGACGAGTTCTAAATCACGTCACACAAAGTTTCCAACAACTAACGACTAACGAATGAACTCCAGCCAGTTAGTCTATACCCGTTAAAGTCTTAAACATACCATCATATAAACTGATAACACATATGGGGTTCGGCCTCTCCAGTTTTCTTTCAACTTGATTCTATGCCGGCCAATGTTGAGCATTGACGTAAAAGGTGGTCTGAAATACGTTAGACATCTGGTCACTTCAGTCGATGTAAATTTGCAGCTCCATCAACCGATATGCTATCTCTGCCTAGTACTAAGGATAACTTATTCAGCAACGGAATGACATACAGAACAACATCCTCTAACAAAAATTACAGTCAGTGGTCTTGTGTGCTGCTAGAGGTATGAGGGCGGTTATCACTTCCCGGTTGCCCACACCGTGGAAGGGTTCTTCCGGAGGTACCTGAAAAGGAAATTGGATTAGAGGTGGTCTTAGTGACCTGGGAGCGTGACCACAATGCCCAAGGGACAACTGCTTGAGGTCAGTCACACACGATTTTTTTATTGGTAATTTTCGTGTTAGCTCCGTACTTGTTCAGACCTTACCACCGAAGACATATCCGTGGGATAAGGCGAGGTGTGCATTTTTAGGGCCAACCTTTTCTAACCTCACCCCTCCTTGTGTGAAGGCAGCATCGCTGTCATGCTGGTTATCTGAAGGAGACACCTTACTGCTGTCACACCTGCACAGTCAGCAGTACGACTTCACCTTCGGACCTTAGGTTTGTTGCTTTTAGTCTTACCGCCCTTCAATCGACTTGTTTGACATAGTAGGAACTGGCTGGAACGGTTGTTCCAGCCAGTATAGCTCGGTTGCTTCATCACGATAGGCAAGCCCGACCACCATGTCAAGGTACCAACAACGATCAGGAACATGAATATCAAACTCAAATTTTCAACAGTGTTACATTGATCTCTATCAGTGAACAGTTTCGAATCGAAATGAAACATCTGTACTATGTTCCATACTTCTAAAAACAGACCATCAAGCCTCTAGTCCTTTCCAATTTGAAACTGATTACATTCATTGGATTTAAATCTATAAATTTCACTGGTTAAAATCATGAGTCAACTGAAGCTAGACCACCATGGAAAACTTGGAAGCACTGGGCGGCCGTTTCGTCCTGGTATGGGACTCCTTAGCGATGCGCATCCACGATCCCGGCCCCCACGAGATTCGAACTCAGGACCTATCAGTCTCGCGCGAGGCGCTTAACCAACTAGACCACTGAGCCGGCACCCAACGGTGTTAATGTCTAACTTCAACCAATCCACGAAGTTGCGCTACCGTACACCATTATCTTCAGTGAGCTGATATCTCACAACAGACCTGTTTGAACTCCACTAGTAACGACTTCTCACGGAACGGCCGTCCAGTGCTTCCAAGTTTTCCATGGTGGTCTAGCTTCGATTGACTCATGATTTCAACCAGTGAAATTTCTAAAAATCTCCGCAAAACCCATTCTGATTATAATCTATAAATCAAACAGATGAACTACAGAGGCAATACAACTCTCTCTTAACCTAATTGATTACACAATTATATTACAGGAGACAATTGTTAAATATTTGCAATATGTTAAAAATGTGATGCAACTTCATGAAAATCAATATGGTTACATTTTCAACATAATAACAATTAATAAAATTATCCATTATGTAATTGAACAAATCGCATGTTAATATCTGCTTGTAATACTATTGCAATAATCTTTATGTGTATTATCGATAGAAATTGCTTTTAATCTAGTCAAAATATATGTAGTTAGATAACCACCACCCCCACCACCACCAACACAACAACAACAACAATGAAAATATATAGAATGTTACTATTTAGATTGATTGATTTGTGAAAACGGTTAAAATAAGAGAATGAATTCATTGATAAAGTCACGTTATTAAATTGATATAGAATTGAAATTTCTATTTCGTCACTTCTATTTTATTTTTCAAACGTTTACAAATGTATTTTTGTATTAAAGTAAGTGTGATACATTGAAGTATCATAAAATATATAATAATACATATTGGTGATGAAAGGAATTAGAAATAATAACCATTATAAGTCAGTAACAACGCAGAACTTTGTACGTACATACATCAGTTCGAGTTACGACATCACATTAGCACACAGACACAATTGTCGATTTAAATCCCGTAATGGTAGAGGTAGTAAAAGTATAAGTAGTGATCCAAAAGATTAAGGATTGAAGATGTTATTCAAGGAGTATAATCCAATGACATGAAGAGTTCGCAAGATTAGAATTTGAAGGAACACAAAGAGTGGATGCACCTGATTCATTAAAAACGATTTTTAATCATGTCATTCAAGGTCTCTAACCATCAGTTGCTATCGTCTCACAGATCCCAACCAGGTAGTCTACATCTACCAACATGACTCAGTCCACTTGTCAGTGACTTCATGGACTTGTGCCATGTTTTGGTCTGGCCGCCCCTAGCTTTCTTCCAACCTACTCCTATACCACTGAACATTGCACGTTGAGGCAGTCGGTCGTTGAGCATATGTAACACGTGTCCAAGCCATCTCAACTGATGAAGTTTGACTACGTCATCAATTGATTTGCCATCCTTACCTAGTACCTGTTTCCTAACAACTGCATTACTTACTCGATGGTCCCACGATATACGAGCAATATTTCGAAGACACCTATGATCAAATACTAGTAACCTACGAATATCCTCTGCTCTTACCGGCCATGTTCCACTGCCATAAAGTAGGACGGAACATCAATGAAACAATCATCCAGTACTTCCAGATGTTCAATAGTGATCTAACTTAGATCGATCCGTGAATTTAACTGTGAAAATTACACAATAATGATGGAGAAATCGAAAAAACAGTGTAAATCAAATTATGGAAGATTAATTTAAAATAGATGCATTGAAACTATAAGTCAAAAGAGGTCATCGTCATCAAAAATTTTATAAAGTGACAAGACTGATTGCGTAATACTCAATTAGAGAAACGCTTGTAATAGATTATGGACTAAATGAGTCGAAATCACGTGTGAACTAAAATTAATCTAAGTGAAGATTGCATAACAAACTGAAAATACAATAATGATAATAAAATATTTTAATCAGAGAGGGTATTTTTGGAGCGGATTGTAATTTTAATAATTGAATTCATGAGTCGATTGAAGATGGACCACCATGAAAAACCTCGAAACACTAGACAGTCGTTTCATATTAGTATGGAACTCCTGAGCAGTGTATCCATGATCCTGTCTTGCGAGATTCGAACCCAAGACCTATTGGCCCTAGACAACTGAGTCGACATCAAACGGTGGACGAAGCGGCTATTCAGTGCTTCCAAGTTTACCATGATGTTCTAGCTTCAATTGACTCATGAATTCAATTATTAAATTACTACAATCTCCAAATTATGAGTTAGACTGAGAAATGTCGCTTTAAGTAATGTATAAATTCCCCAAATGCCCTGTCACGGCCGAGAGTGAGGAAAGTCCGCTCTCCCTCTCGAAATGCTCTCACATGGCCACGCGTATATAGCCTCTGCCCGGTAAGTTCGACTCACTACCTTCTCGTAGCGGGGGTGTTGTTTACAAAATTGAGAGGACGAAAAGCGAATGTCCGGCGCTTTAACCGGGTTGGCGGACATGGAGAGTTGGAAAACCCTGATTCCAAACCAATGCTGCACATGGGCTCCGGTACCCTGAGGAAACAAATGGCGTATGAACTAATTATTGGTCACCGGCTACCATGGGACTGAATCTCCTGACGTTGCTCCACTGCCTTGTGGGTCAGACCTTTAGGTTAAAGGCTCGGGGTGTGGCCCCCTAAGAAAACCACCTGCTTCGGTTCAGGCACTATCACAGCCCACACACATATCAGATTAGATCTGTGTGGCGCATATGTATTTGGTGCCTCCTTGTACTTATCATTACTGTTTAAGAGGAGTATAAAGGTGTTGTATCGTCTTAACTAGTAATTATTTTCAATAATTGATGAATATCAATGATACACTGGGTGTTGATTAGATAATAACTTACTGGACTGTTTAAGACTGTGGCAACTATCATTTTCAAACTCTTTGGAATATGGAAATACAAATATACACAATTCTCATTGTTCTTTCAATGTATATATATTGTTTGGCATAAACATAATTACTTCCATACTCACCTTCATATCCTCTCTATCTATCTTAGATTGACTGTAGACGTGTTTATTCACTTATATATATGTATATATAGTACTGATACTTATTGTCGCTACAATGTTTTTCAGTCATCTAATCTCTATCACCTAATCGTATACTGACTACAGTTGTAAGCAGATGATGAGAATCCACAAAGTAAAGTCAACAGTGAAGATTGATATTACTCTATAGTAAAAAGAAATGATCGCATAGTACAAAAATTTGACTAAAGTAGGAAATGTGAATCACTGATTGGTAAAAAAAACTCAGTAGTCTTAAGGTAACGAACTTATTTCGAAACTATTAAATTCCACCATTAGGAGAGTATTGGGGAGTCGAACGGATGAAACATTAAAACACCACAAAAAAAGTCAGTGAGAAATTAGTTTTAGGATTTCAAAACGGTTATCTAGTCAAAACTAACTTATGGTGTCAACAATCTCTCTAGATTTCTCAGCAGTGCGCATCCACGACCCCGCGAGCAAGATTCGAACTCAGGGCCTACTGGCTTCGCGCCTGAGCATTTAACCATTAGACCACTGAGCCGGCATCCAATGGTGTTAGTGTCTAACATCAACCAATCCACGAAATTGCACGACCAACTTCCATTGTACTGAGGTAGATACCTGTCTCTACCCGACACGGATTAGCTCCGCTGGTCACGGCTTCTCACTAGAACTTCGAGAATTCCCTCTAGTGAGAAGCCGTGACCAGTGGAGACAGGTATCTACCTCAGTACAATGGAAGTTGGTCGTGCAATTTCGTGGATTGGTTGATGTTAGACACTAACACCATTGGATGCCGGCTCAGTGGTCTAATGGTTAAATGCTCAGGCGCGAAGCCAGTAGGTCCTGGGTTCGAATCCCGCTCGCGGGATCGTGGATGCGCACTGCTGAGGAGTCCCATACTAGGACGAAACGGCCGTCCAGTGCTTCCAGGTTTCCAACGGTGGTCTAACATCAATTGATTCATGATCTCAACCAAAAACTTAACAATCTCCACAACCCCCATACTGATAATCTCTCTAGAGTTATCTAAGTCAAAACATTAAGGACGATAGTCATTGAAATAGAAAAGAAATAGTATTTTCCATACTCACCGAGTTTACGTAAGTCATTGTATCGATTGTTTTTTAATTCCAGGAATCTTATATAAACCTCACTTGATTAATGCATAACCCATCCCTTATGTTTGTTTTACATTCTAACACCAAATGACCTCTGGCCTGTTCTTGCACATATATACATATAGTTATTATTGATAACCTTAGTCGTTTCAATTCTTTTCATTCATTCACATAAGGAATGATATCCGAAAAGCTGTGGAAACAGCAGTGATATCTGCAAGTACGGTAAATCGTAAGATTAGGGAGCAACACTGGATCTCAGCAGCATCTATCGCACTGATAGATGCTCAGAAACTCATTCCACCTGGCTCTGAACATAATGAAAAGCGGAGTCAACTTAAGCGCAAGCTGACGAGAAGTCTACGCAATGATCGTGAACAGTGGTGGGTAGCGAAAGCAAGAGAGACGGAAAAGGCAGCGGCAGTAGGTAATAGCAGACAATTGTTTAGACTTGTTAAGGAAACCGGTATTAGGAAACCGACTGTTAGCGAAATACTCTCAGAGAAAGATGGAGATATTATACACTCTCAATCCAGGAGATTGGATCGATGGGCAGAACACTTCAGGGATCAGTTCAACTGGCCTTCGGCCACACTTCGGTTTCCCACGATCTCCAGTCAACCTGAATGGTCCTCCGTCTCTTTACGAAGTTGAAAAGCCATAGGAAATCTGAAGCAAGGGAGAGCAGCAGGCCCTGACAGATTTACTCCTGAGATTTTTAAGGATGGTGGTTCAGTATTAGCAGTGAGGTTAACTGAGGTCTTAGGTAGAATTTGGGAACTGGACGTAATCCCATCTGACTGTTCTCAATCACTGATTGTGCCAGCCTATAAGAAAGGACAAAAGTCCTCTTGTGACAATCACAGAGGAATCAGACTGACTAATATAGTGTCTAAAATATTAGCTTCAATAATACTTCGACGCCTAACCAAAGTTCGTGAAGAGCAGATTAGAGAAAACCAGGCTGGTTTTCGACCTGGACGTAGTTGTATAGACCAAATATTCACACTACGTCAGGTTCTAGAACACAGACACACGTTCAGACGCCCCACAATGGTAGTATTTCTCGACCTTAAGGCAGAACTTGACTTTGTTGATCGTAAGGTTCTATGGCAGTGTTTGTCACTGAAAGGAGTACCAAAGAAATACATTAACCTTATTCAGGCTCTCTACTCGAACACAACTGGTAGAGTGAGAGCTTATGGCGAACTGTCATCAGAATTGATTACCTCAAGTGGTGTTCGTCAGGGCTGTCTACTCTCTCCTTTCTTGTTTAACTTTGTCGTTGACGTGCTTTTAGAGATGACACTTTCCTCATCTAAATTTACAGGGGTTAAACTTCTACTAGGAGCTTCACTTGTTGACTTAGAATATGCTGATGACAGTTTTATTTGGCGAAGACGCTGACAAAATGCAGAGTCTTCTGACCACTTTAAGCAGCAATGCAAGCATGTTCGGGATGAGGTTCTCCCCCTCGAAATGCAAAATGTTGCTTCAGGATTGGGTTGCATTGACACCCGAACTAATGATAGGGAGTGAAGTAATTGAGCGTGTCGATCGCTTCACTTATCTTGGAAGTCTCATCAGTCCTTGTGGTCTGGTATGTGACGAAATCTCAGAACGGATACAGAAGACTCGACTAGCTTTTGCTAACTTGCGTCATTTATGGCGTAGGCGAGATATCTGTCTATCAACCAAAGGACGTGTTTACTGCGCACCAGTTCGTTCCGTCCTGCTTTATGGAAGTGAAACATGGCCGGTAAGAGTAGAAGATATTCGTAGGTTACTAGTATTTGATCATAGGTGTCTTCGAAATATTGCTCGTATATCGTGGGACCATCGAGTAAGTAATGCAGTTGTTAGGAAACAGGTACTAGGTAAGGATGGCAAATCAATTGATGACGTAGTCAAACTTCATCAGTTGAGATGGCTTGGACACGTGTTACGTATGCCCAACGACCGACTGCCTCAACGTGCAATGTTCAGTGGTATAGGAGTAGGTTGGAAGAAAGCTAGGGGCGGCCAGACCAAAACATGGAACAAGTCCATGAAGTCACTGACAAGTGGACTGAGTCATGTCGGTAGGTGTAAACTACCAGGTGCATCAACTCTTTGTGTTCTCCCAAACTTTGATCTCCTTATTCCTTCTTGTCTCTTTTTTTTCTCCTCTCAAATTTATTTCACCGTATTATACTCTTTAAGTAACATCTCCAAACATTAATCTTCCCGATTACTGCTTATACTCTTATTACCTCTACCACTACGGGATTTGAATCGACCACTGCATCTTTGTGCTAATGTGGTGTGACAACTCGACTTGATGTACGTACGTACGAAGTTCTACGTTGTTACTGACTGACTGACTGATATATGTCAATTGTTTCACTCTATGTATTACCTTGATGTAGACATGCAATACATATATGATTGTAGGTAGCTGATAAGAAACCACAAAGGATAATGAATTCATATTATACTTTACCTTTTGTTGTCTGAATCATATCCATATTGTGAACCCATTTTTGAACAACAGCGTAACTTCCACCGGTCTTTGTATTGATCGCCACTTCAGCTCGTTCATCAGGATCTGCCGGATTCTCTGTGCCTTATTATCAAATAAAATAAACGTTGGAGATGTTATGTTTTAAGCAGCTTAGTGATGGTATACTGTATAAAGACAATGGCTACTGGTTCTTTACTTAAAATCCGATTAATTTTGATTGAACTAAATGATGGACATAGACACACAAAGTGTAAAAACTGACTAATCGTTCAGTTCAGTTGTTTTCTTCCATTATAACCTACTTTCAAGTGGCTTTCTACGTATAATGAAAATCATACATTTTGTCATATTAGTTCAGATTTGGCGACGTTGAGGTTATTTCTGCTGGAAAATAACAGGTGAAAGTCAAGTAGATGAGGAGAGATCTGTGTTTTACTTGTGAAGCCCGCAAATGCCCTGGTACGGCCGAAGGTGGGGGACTGTTAAATCTCCCTCCCGAAATGCCCTGACATGGCCACGCGTATACAGCTACTGACAGAGAAGTCCTAATGACTGCTTTCTCGTAGCTGGGGTGTTTACGAAATTGAGAGGACGAAAAGCGAATGTCCGATGTTTTAACTGGGTTGTTGACAACGGAGGATACACCTAAGGGAGTTGAAGAACCCTGATTCCAAACTAATAGTGCACGTGAGCTCCAGGATCCTGAGGGAACAAATGGCGTATGAACCTATTGTTGGTCATAGGCTATTATGAGACTGCATCTCCTGACGTTTATCCACTGCCTTTTGGATTTGACATCTAGGCCAAAAGCTCAACGAGTGACCCCCAATAGAACCACGTGCTTCGGTTTGGGCGTCCGGGCAGTACTCCAGCTCTTACACAAATCAAATGATGAAGTGTGGCTCATATCTGTTTGGTGTCTCCGTGTACCAATGTTTATATAATTAAATAGATAAAATTTTATTTCTGAAACATGCTTCCTCTAAGCCAATGATGTCAGTGACTCGGTGCTTTTCATTACTGCTTCCCCTGAAAACTTGCTTACATTTGGTACTGGAATGTAACTAATGTCGAGATCTAACAACGTGTTTGATTACAATGAGGACAATTCAATTGATTTCGCCTTATTTGAAGATTGGTTTAGATAGTATCGGCATGTTTTATAATTGTCATCCCAACGACTTATACATCAAATATTTTTTGCTGACAGCGATACGGGATGGATTAATCAAAGAGGTAACCAGTTTATGATACTGCGCTGTAATACTGAAGATAGACATTTGCAACTAGCAGCTGCTCGTCCATCACCACCACACTCCGTGAATATGGTACTAACGACCATGATATATTAGTGGCGTGAGACGTTATGAAATATAACTAAGAATACAAAGCATTGTTGAGCTAAACCCAAATATCTTAGTGTAACTAATAATGTAGAAAGTTTACTGTGCCACTCGAAACGCGATGAAAAAAACCCACACATACATGGCCTTTCAGAAAGGAGTTCTACTTTTATCTTTCATGTAATAATGAGTGTATTCTTAAAATTAATAAGACGAGGGTGAAGATCTGAAGTTTAAACTGAATAAACAAATTATAATACATAATTTGTAGCAGTCTAACCGTTAGATCTATGTTCTACAATTTAGATTAGGAATGAGGACTACTTTTCAAGTTTTATTTAACAGTTAAATCACATTCAGTTGTAAATATTAATCCCATTACGAATATAATATTAAAGATAGAAATATATATATATATATATATATATATATATATATATATATATATATATATATATATATATATATATATATATATGCAATATGAAATAAAGTGTAGAATAATTTTACCATCAATGAAACCACTCAAATCTCGTCCATTACGATAAACCCATCCGTAGATATCTTCAAATTTGATTACAGATCCATTTGGTAAATTATTGATAATAGCTTGTGTCAATTCAAACAATTTACCATATTCATGACATTTAGCATGAATAAATATATCTCCACCTATGAAATTTATTAAAACAATAATAATCTGTAATCAACTTATTAAGCTAATAACTAATTATGTGTTTGATGCTATATAAACTACCGTTCAATTTCGTTAGCTAGTTACTAGTTGTAAGATACGTGAAACTGTTATATGCATACTGAAACCGTTCATTAAGCTTCATCTTATCAAGTTAATTATTACATAAGTCAGTTTTTTTTAATACATCGGTTTTAATTGCCATAAGACATTAGCATATAGATACAATTCTCAATTCAAATCCCATAGTGGTAGAGGTAGTAAAAGTATAAGTAGTGATCCAAAAGATTAAGGATTGAAGATGTTATTCAAGGAGTATAATCCAATGACATGAAGAGTTCGCAAGATTAGAATTTGAAGGAACACAAAGAGTGGATGCACCTGATTCATTAAAAACGATTTTTAATCATGTCATTCAAGGTCTCTAACCATCAGTTGCTATCGTCTCACAGATCCCAACCAGGTAGTCTACATCTACCAACATGACTCAGTCCACTTGTCAGTGACTTCATGGACTTGTGCCATGTTTTGGTCTGGCCGCCCCTAGCTTTCTTCCAACCTACTCCTATACCACTGAACATTGCACGTTGAGGCAGTCGGTCGTTGGGCATACGTAACACGTGTCCAAGCCATCTCAACTGATGAAGTTTGACTACGTCATCAATTGATTTGCCATCCTTACCTAGTACCTGTTTCCTAACAACTGCATTACTTACTCGATGGTCCCACGATATACGAGCAATATTTCGAAGACACCTATGATCAAATACTAGTAACCTACGAATATCTTCTACTCTTACCGGCCATGTTTCACTTCCATAAAGCAGGACGGAACGAAGTGCTGAGTAGTAAACATGTCGTTTGGTTGGTAGACGGATATCTCGCCTACGCTATAAATGATACAAGTTGGCAAGAGCTAGTCGAGTCTTCTGTATCCGTTCTGAGATTTCGTCACACACCGGACCGCAATGGCTGATGTAATAGGATGACTGCTTAATAATACTTTTAATCAATCCTAAAATTACAAAGTTCTAAAATTGCATATAAATACCACTAGATGAAAATGATTTCCTGAAGTAAGCAGAGAATCATACTCGGAAATAACTCCACGAACATGATCAACCATTCGTTTGTTAGGTTATAAATTATTGCTTACAATAAAAAAGCAAGTAACAAACCGACAACTGAAGCTGAATTTACCTGTTTTAGGTAATTTACCAAGATTTCCTGACCGTTCACGGTATTCGTAATTATTAATTCCTCTAGACTGAAAATTAGGGCTAATTTTTTGTAGAAATTCAAGTCCAAAGCCAACACCGTATAGAATCTCATCTTCTTCACTTCGTGAGTCAGGTGGACAAATCGCATCAACATATTTCTAGAATTAATAAATAAATGTATGGATACTATACTTAAAGTGTAAAAACAACTTAACTATAGGTACATGTCATTGATTCAAACATAATTAACGCAGAACCTGTTACGAACATGCGTCGGCCCAAGTTTATACGCCATATCAGCACGAAGAGAGTGACTTAACAAGATGAATGAGAAAGAAATTAAAATAATCTGTTTGTAAGGATAACAAAAGAGGCTGAACATAAAGAATATGATACGAAAAGATATGACGAAGAAGCTTATATAAAGTAATATGATTGGAGTTCTAGTGTACGGAGCTGAAATCTGGAGAAATACCACAAACATCATCAAAAAGGTACAAGTATTTATAAACAATTGTCTACGCAAGATGCCTGTTGGCCGAAAATAATCAGCAACACACTACTGTGAGAGAGGATAAACCGGCTTCCAGCTGAAGAGTAAATTAGGAAAAGACGCCCCAAGTGGATAGGACAAACACTGAAAAAATCACCAAACTGCATCACGAGACAAGCTCAAATGTGAAATTCTGGATGGAAACGGAAGAGGAAGTTCGAAGAACGCACTACTTTTGAAATTGGAAGCAGACATGAGGAAGATAAATAGCAACCGGGAAGGACTGTCGAGAATAGAATTAGATGGAGAATACTGAAGGTTGGCCTATGTTTCTGCATTGGGGTAACAGGAGGAAGTAAGATCATACAATGTTCAGTCTACAGGTTTCAATCTTTACTAGCAATATAAAAGTCGAAAGATTTTCCATATGAATGTTATTCATTAAGTTTTATATCAGTAGCTTATTTAAGCAACTGTAGTAGTCTAAACCTAAAGGATGTTTGAAGTTTTACTTGATATCGAGAACACTTTAGATAGTTCACGACATATTTAAAGAATGTTCGCAAACCGTTCACAATCAATTCAATAAAAGTATTTACTTAAGTATACAATAGAAGTAAAGGCTCAAAAACTAGGCAAGTAAATCAATTGTCGAAGAAAGCTATCAAGATCAAACTAGAGAAGTGCTTTCAAGCAATTGCAAGATTGTGAATGTACCAAAATTTACTGCCTTTTACATCACAGTAGACTTTATACAACTATAATTAAATAACATTCAGTAAATTACGGATAACAGCAATCAAATTAACGAACAAAAAGTTACGAAAATAAGAATTTGCCTACAATTACGTCGAAGCAATTTTTCAGGCAAATTACAAATTTGGAAGCGAAAACGTTTTCAGGAATATCTAATGAGAAATATATCATACAGACTATTTGGTTCTAACACGAAATTTCTTGTCCATCAAATAACAATCTCAAAAATAACAGAAAAATCACCTCAAATGTAAAGCATTATTGACATTTTCAGCTGTAGAACGTGATATTGTAATCGTTTGTTAAAATACATCATGAACAAGTGTTTCTACAATTGACGACCACGTCTTTATAAAGATGTAACAAGATGCAAACAAAAACACTTATTCAGATTATTCAAAATACCAATTAGGTGTTCTCTATTGCTGATAATAATAATCCGTTATTAATTTATCAATTTTAAACTTCGTTGAACAGAACTACAGCGACTATCATCACTTTTATTATTAGTGAAAAGCACAAAAATAATATTATTATTTCCCGAGATATAGTCAGTAAAATTTAAGTTGGATGGAAACATTATAATTTCCAATCAATATGTCTAAACTCAAAGATCTTACTGACCATACAACTTACCAATATCCCTATCCTACTTACGATAAGATTACATATTAAACAGAAACAACATTCCAGTAGCTAAATTTAGATACGAAAAGTTTGGAAGATGGTATCGTCCAGAGAAAACTTAATATGAATAAGAGGGCAACACATTTCACAAATGTTAGCTCATTAGGAATATGGTGGAAAAAGCACAACTCTTTCCATAGAGAAAAGGATGTGTTTACGAGTTTGTGTTACAAAACCACAGACCCAATGAGGATGTTACCTTCATCTATTATTCCGATAGCTAGGAAACGATTAATGCATCGAAAGAGTCACTAACACTTTTTCATAAATCCTTATCTGGGTTAATTGTTAAGGCATTTTTCCAAAGTCTATATATGAAATTATAAGATCAGATATTTTCCTCTAACATAACCACAAACATTGAGTCGTATAAATGGACAATGTTATATATAATACTTAAGCATCTGTCAACATAGATTGAAGTTTGACGAGATCACAGATTTACAATCAACATTTTATCACCTAAGATAGAAGAAAAACAGGAATACATACATTAGAAGCTACTGAACAACGTATTTTATTAGCCTCTAGTTTGTAGAGCTTTGAAGCTTAGTGGAAAAAATAGATGTTTTTGTTAATGAGACATATTTATATGAATAAGTATGTTATGTGTCTGCGAATGTGTCATGATCCGTTAAAAACACTAAAAAATTCAACGAATCATATCCGATTACCTACAAACTTCATGAGTGTATATATCACTCACATTACATATAAACGTCAGAAAAATGTGGAGAACATTGCAATACCTTGATTTGTCCAACAGACTTCAAACATTCTTGCGGTGATGCCTGGGGATCCAAGTGAATGGTCAGGTATAGAGCATGTGACTTAGTCTCACTAACAACCTATGTAACGAAATATTGACGAAATAATAAATTTACAGATCCTTGAGGAGCAAATCTAGTAGCGCACGCAGCATGAACAAGTAGTCTTTTACTTAAAAGTTCTTTCTTTGAATAAACAGCATACGGAAGAAGGAAAGTCCCACCTACAAGTAAACACTCAGTAATCGGTGTTTTTCTTGTTACACTGCGAATTCCTGAAACAGTAAGACGTGAAATTGGGGAATCACTTGCCTTTAACGAGAAACGACAAAAACTTCATGTCCTTGAGATTGTAAATGACTAGAAAGAATTTCAATCTTATTTGAGTAAGTAAAACACTTTCGCTAATTGATAACTTGCCTTAGGCCAGTGAAAGTTTGAATCTTTTCTAAAATGAAGTTCACACAGTAGTTTTTATAATGAAATTACCGTCGACGCTATAAAAAGGGTTCAGCTCAGTTGTATAAATCCACCTCCGTTTGTTGTTTCGCTTTGGCTAGGTACAACCGTATCCACATTAAAGTGTAGCAGTAAAGTATGATACAATGTGGAATCGTAAGAACTGGTGACTTAACTAATTATAATAACAGAGGATGCCAAAGTTATATATATATGAGTTGATTAATAGGAAGACAACCCTTATATATGTATCGAGCTTGTATGAACCATTTGGTTTCTCTGCAACACGCTTCTTGTTGTTTATTTATGACCTCAGATTTTTTATAATCCTCAGAGAGTGCTGGTCTAGCCAATAAACTGCACTAATTCAGATAGTTATCGGTGGATTTGTATATCTTTTAACTTCAGAAAGCCTTCTATGAATGCGTCAAGTTTTCTCCAAAAGGACTCCTGGGAAGTCTCATGGACGAACTCATCCAGCAGCGAATTCCAGCATTTGACTACTCTTAAGAAGTAGAAGTTTAGTCTGCCATCCGTTCTGCTGTGCTTTGTCTACAGGTTCTGGGCGTTACCCTTAAGTTTTATGTTGGAACCTAGCTTAAGTAAGTGTTTAAGAGGATTCCAAAATAAATTTGGATGCTGTAAGACATTAGGTCACCTCTAGTACTCCTGCACCCTAATGGGTAAAGGGTCAGTGATTGAAGGTGCTCTTTATATCGCTTGAATTCGAGTCCTCGAACTGATTTCGTGACTCACCATTAGATACGTTCCAGAGTATTTTTATCCTTTTAGATTAAGCTTTGAAACACTATGATTCAGTACTCTAAATGGGGATAAGACTGTTGAAGATTATTTGGAACGTTTTTCCGTCAAACTGGCCAAAAGTGAGCTCCAATGTTACCAGTGCAAGATTTTCTCGAAAGGCATTTCCGTCGAAATCGGAGTAAGACTTCAAATCGTAGGGTTCTAACATTGCTATATCTTTTGCAAATTGGGGCACTTCTTGAGAAAGGTTGTCTAAGTTGTAGCTGTAGTCTGACTTGCTCATCTGGAACTTGTGATGTCAAAACATTTCCAACTCTTATACACTCCATTTACCTGGGTTCGATGTGTCCTGTTCTCTAAATAGTTTTGAAACCAAGATATAGGTGTTTCTGTTAGAATGTGCAGAAAAATATACCAATAATTATCATGTTAAGTCTAATGTTATTCTTGGATGTTAAATGAACATTCACTATTGGTCGATATTTGTTCACTTGTAAAATATTGCACAAGATGTTGTTTTCTGTTTTATGGTACGATGTAGTTTGTTTGGTTGGCATATAAACAGAGTATGTCTGAAATACAGTGATTCATAACTCAGAGGCTGAGACTTGTGTTCTGTACTCAACTGGCTGGGCTAGACAGCGAAGCGGGACCAATCAGAACCCTACGTCGTTCGTACGTGTTCTTACGTGTCATTATTCCGAATGATAAGTCGCTGCACCATAATCCGCATTTACCCGTTACAACAGTTTCAGTAAAATCAGTCTTCAGTTTTCGTTATGAGAAGTATAAACGGTACTGCATCAATGGGATTGGCGAAGTGGATTAATATTAATTACCGACCAACAAGCATTGATGGTGAGAACGATGACTTCAATCCACCCATGAATGTGGGACAGGATATTTTGTTTGTTTCGCGCACATTATGATTTAGGATAAGGCAACCTTCATTAAAACTGCGGATATTGTCCCACGCTCAGTATCTAGACTCATGTTCTCAATGTTATGTTGGATTCGCTATTCTGCTAAGATGATATACAACATCGTAACCCAGACTCTCAAATTATCATCTAGTGACTGGCATCAGATGAAAGGAAAAGAAAAGAAAAAACCAAACAATAAGTGACATAGTTATCAGCTTTCCTTAACACTTTACTCTCGTGAAGCATTTCCAATTATGAAAGTCTTTTTATTCTAAGTTCGACTCTCCTTCAAATATTTTAACCCATTTCACTTTGTTACATATCACAGTTCACTGTCATTTATCACTGTATTCTCTTATCTAAAGACATAGCCACGTTTCACTCTAGCAACAAATTTTAGTATGAAATTTACCTACCAATTTATCATATCTTAATCTGTTCCACTACAAACTTTTATTCACCGTTCAGAATTCATATCCAAATGCCCTGCTGCTCCTTTTTTCTCTATTTTCAACAACACCCTCAGTGAACAGCAATAAAGCTTCATACGCCTTAAAAAAGCAAATTCAAGGCTCATACATTACATTGATCAACACCCAGTGATCAACCAATTATGAGACTGATCAGTGGCAGTCCTGAACATCAACGAAGCCTGAAAATAAACAGTCAGTGGCTGCATAATTGAAAAACTTTATTGTTATACAACAGATGTATTGTATTTCATATCTTCAACCTTGAGCAATGACTAATAGCTAAATAACAAAATAATACAAATAATTCAACTAACCATATCGTTTTTTAACGTCACGCTGTAAACTCGAAAGACGTCGTGGATGACTATAAATAAATATCAACTAATATAGAATATTTCTCCCAAATTAGTAAACAATATAATAATGAAGGAACTTATTTTGATGATATTTTGTTAATATTTGATTAATCATAGTCGAAAAAGAATACAACTCTTGTCATACGAGTACGAGTTTTTCGAGTCTCCCCATAAAGCCTGTCGAATGTGATGCTCTCTTTTCATGGTGTTATCTTCTGCGATGTGGCTAAGTGGGTAACAATCACGTCTCTTTGGAAAATTCCACTCGTGACTACGTTGTTGTGCAGAAGCGGACATCCCCATCTAGCAGCTGATTACTCGTCAGTAAGTGATCTAAGTGTAAAGTTTCTCGATCCCAATCCCATCTCGTGGCACAATCTATCTGTCCAGTCAGTCCTGAACCCTTGTTGATTGTGACAAGCCACTTATAGAACTATACTGTAGAGGTTGCATCTTGATTGCTGAGATTGAAGGATGGGGCATTTTAGGCTGCATTTAGTAGAGTTAAGTATAACTCCAGGCCCGTCCGTTTCAGGATTTTAGCATCGCCTGTATTATCTTAACGTTTTACTTGTTAGGGCGCGTCAAAGACCAGAATATTCTTTCAATCAAGCATTTTGTGCCGTTTGCACTAAAGCAAAATCAACATGATCCTGTCAACTTGGTTTAATTCGGCAATGTGTTGTGTAGAAACTTTGATATGATTGTTAATGTATGTTACCACACTACTCGTATTGTGTCTCGTATAGTATTAGAGAAATGAAATGTCTTGATATTTCACTTATTCGTCCGTGACGCGGAGTGATAACTATGATTCAATTAGGACTGCGACTTTCAGATCTAACCCAAGGCCCTTGTTCTTGATACTTTTCTGTTCACCTCATGGTCCCCTTACGTCACGACATAGGCTCTCGACGGTTTGCCTCATTCCGTGACCCTCCTCCATAGCAGCATCAGCCTCCTGGGTTTACAAATACATTGTTGTTTATAGAGTTCTGACCGAATGCGTGAGGAATGGCTGAAGTAGGCCTTTTGCCCACAAAGTATGTCCCGTTAGAGGGACTGCAGTCGAAGTGTTTCGTTTTGTGAGTTGCTAATCAACGCTGAACAACACCATAAAGTACTTTATTGAGCTCATTTGTTGTTGCCTTGCCGATTCAGGTCGTCCCTAACAACATTTGATGTGAATAAAGAAGCCATCACTTGATGTTTATCGCACCTGAAGGGCCTCAATTAAATCCTCTCGCTTTCTGAAGTTAACAGTTATGAAACGAGAAGACTAAATGGTCGCGAGATGTGACGAACAAGATAGTCCGAACCTGCTCAATATTACGATGATGTGAGATCCTAGGTCATGTGTAAACCGAAACCACTATCGCCTACCATGTCACTATTCTCCATCATCACCATCACATACTAACTCGGGCACTTCGTAAACCACTATGCTGGTTTTTCTTAGGTGTTTGTTGACCTTATAACAATATCTCTTGTGCCAAAGGTTTAACGTGTCGGATTCGAGTTTGAGAGGATTGTCTCACCGAAGTTATCCAGGGTATCTGTGGTACGTTTTGCGTAACGTGTGTTGAATCTATACTTACTCTTACTGGACGGGATTATTCTTTCTCTGCTTTTTACTAAGCTACTATCAGACATTAAAACGTTGAATAAAATCAAGCAGTTTCAAGTATTTGTCCCCTATTTCTAGAACTTCAGGGGTCATGCCTTTTTCAACTCACCTCCCGATGTTCACCCAACGTTCTACAGTATCAACTTTTATTGTGGTATTAGCAATAGATGGTAATTTCACTAGTGTATGATTTCGTGTTGTTGCTCTCATAGTCGTGTGTTTGGTCGAGTCTGCGTGGGGTTTTAAATAATTACCTCCAGTGGGGTCTTAAGCTTCGCTTTTATTAGTTCCCTTGACCTGTTCGCTGTAAGCAAAAGTACAGCAACGATGAACAGGGGTGATCCGACACAGACTCGTACGATATCATGACAGTGAGGTACTACAGAGGCAGTGAACTTGTCCAATGCAGAAATCACATTTGGAGGTCAATTTCAAGAAACTAGGACCAGGGCAGCGATTAATTTGGGAATGACAGGTTGAATTGTCGGACACTACTTCCTACAAGACGCATTTGCGAAACATAAACCAATGAGCTGGCAAATATCTGGAGTTTCAAACTCGTAAGATGCATAGCACTGACTGTGCGGTGGACTAGACGATATATAAACGCAAAATGCATCAACAAAGTTAATAAAGATCAATAGAAATGTTAATATATATAAGTTAATTATTACAAATACAATAGAAATTTGGGACTTTACTTAAGTTCACCTAAATGATGTGTGTTCGGCTTTGGTTTGGTACTAAGAAACAACAATTATAAATACTTGGTAATTCCAATCTGGTTGACGAACTCCCCAGCGATATAATCCAACGTAGGATGTGATATATCCCTATTACAGTCTATAAATGTAGATAGTATTTGATTTAGACTTCAGTTAACTCAATCACAAACGAAGATAGAACGAGGAATGTGTGAGTAGTAGTGTATTTGTTAGACAGCAAGAGTATTTCACGCTATGTGGTTGCACAACGGAAAAGTGTGTTCAAGGTCATTTACTAAAACAACAGTCACAGTCATTTAAAGTCAAATATACATACAGTGGAAGGTTGACAAAATAAATACAAATAATAATAAAAACTATTTACAAAATAAGCTTGTCAGTCATATCTCCACATAGCTCCCTCCAGAGTGTTCGGAGGTAACACTGGTTATGATAACAATAAATGTAAGGATATGCTATATACATGCATACAAAAATAATATTTACAGTTATAACCAACAAAAATGCAGAGATGAGTATGACGTATACGTCAGTAAGATGCAGATTGTTATCGTTTGAGAATAGCAATGATGTTACTTACTTACTTACGCCTGTTACATCTCGTGAAGGAGCATAGGCCGCTCACCAGCATTCTCCATCCAACCCTGTCCTGGGCAATCCTTTCTAGCTCCGTCCAGTTGTAATTCATCGTTTTCATATCTGCTTCTATTATCCGACGCAATGTGTTCTTTGGCCTTCCTTTTTTTTCGCTTCCCTTCAGGATTCCAAGTTAAAGCTTACCTCGTGATGCAGTTTGACGATTTGCGTAATGTAAGTCCTATCCATTTCCATCGTCTTTTCCTAATTTCTTCTTCAGCTGGAAGTTGGTTTGTTCTCTCCCACAGAAGGCTATTGCTGATGGTATCCGGCCAATGGATGTTGAGTATCTTGCGAAGATAGCTATTTATAAATACTTGTACCTTCTTGATGGTGGTTGTTGTAGTTCTCCAAGTTTCAGCTCCATACAGTAGAACTGTCTTGACGTTTGTATTGAAGATTCTCACTTTGATATTGGTTGGAAGTTGTTTTGAGTTCCATATGTTTTTCAATAGTAGGAATGCTGTCCTTGTTTTGCCAATCCTTGCCTTTACGTCTGCATCTGAACCTCCTTGTTCATCGATGATGCTTCCTAGGTATGTGAAGGACTCTACATTTTCCAGAGTTTCGCCATCAAGAGTGATTGGATTGTTGTTTTCCGCTTTGAATTTGAGGACTTTGGTTTTCCCTTTGTGTATGCTGAGGCCTACTGATGCAGAGACTGCTGCTACACTGGCTGCCTTCATCTGCATCTGTTCGTGTGTACGTGATAAGAGGGCTAGGTCATCTGCGAAGTCCAAATCGTCTAATTGATTCTGAGCTGTCCATTGTATTTCGTGTTTTCATTCAGATGTCGAGGTCTTCATAATCCAGTCGACCACCAGAAGAAAGAGGAAGGGAGAGAGTAAACAGCCTTGTCTGAATCCGGTCCTTACTTGGAATGCATCTGTCAGCTGTCCTCCATGCACGACTTTACACTATAGTCCGTCGTATGAGTTCCGGATAATGTTGACAATCTTCTCAGGAACTCCGTAGTGTCGAAGAAGCTTCCATAATGTCCTCCTATCTACACTGTCGAATGCTTTTTCATAATCAATGAAGTTGATGTATAGTGATGAGTTCCACTCAACTGATTGTTCGACGATGATCCGTAGTGTTGCAATTTGGTCTGTGCATGATCGATCCTTACGGAATCCAGCTTGTTGATCTCGAAGTTGGGCGTCTACTGCATCTTTCATCCGGTTCAGCAACACTCTGTTGAAGACCTTCCCTGGTATTGACAGCAGTGTAATGCCCCTATAGTTTTCACATTTGCTCAGATCTCCTTTCTTTGGAATCTTGACGAGGTGCCCTTCTTTCCAGTCCATCGGCACTTGTTCCTCTTCCCAAATCTTTTTGAATAGAAGGTAAAGCATGTTTGTAGTTGCTTCGATGTCTGACTTCAGTGCTTCAGCTGGTATGTTGTCCGGACTCGCTGCTTTCCCGTTCTTGATTTGTCTGACGGCCATTCTGATTTCTTCCTTCGTTGGTGGGTTGACGTCTATGGAAAGATCTGTGTGTGCCGCTTCGACGTCCGGTGGATTCGTTGGAGCCGGCCTATTCAGGAGTTCTTCGAAGTATTCTACCCATCTGTTCCGCTGTTGTTGAATTTCGGTGATTGGCTTGCCTTCTTTGTCTTTGACCGGTCTCTCTGGTTTACTGTATTTCCCCGATAGTTTCTTCGTTGTATCGTAAAGCTGTTTCATATTTCCTTCTCTAGCAGCTTTTTCTGCTGTCGTTGCTAGTTCTTATATGTATTTCTTCTTGTCGACTCTAATAATCCTCTTCACTTGTTTATTTGCTTCTATGTATTCAGCTTGTGCTTGAACTTTCTCTGCTCGTGTTCGGCTGTTGTTAATTGCTGCTTTCTTGTTCTTCCTTTCTTTGATCTTGTCCAGTGTTTCTGTAGAGATCCATTCCTTATGATGGTATTTCTTTAGACCCAGAACCTCTTGACACGTTGAAGTTAATGCTTCCTTGATGCCTTTCCAGTT